TTCAAACCCACCAGCCACTCCTCGGAAGGAAGATGGGGCAATCTACTTCCGTAGTGGTACTGCCTCGGAAACCCAAGGAGGGGTCGCTATGAGTCTGACTTGATAGCACATAACAACAACAACTTGACAGTGGATTTTGACAAGGATGAAGGAACAAAGTGTTGAATATCCAGAGTTACAGGATGAAATTCAGAATCTTTTGTTTCTAATCCCAATCCCTAAAAATTATAACAAACTTGGAAAAGAAAACATGAGAGGTTTATCAATATTCTCTATCCTCTCCAGTAGAGAACCACAAATTAAAAATCTAACTCTATAACCAAGTTAGGTTTTCTATTCAGTACAAGGCAAAGGGTAACAAAGAACAGTGCCTTTAGTTACCAGAGTGCTCTCTAGTATGATTTTGTGTCCTTACTAAGCCAAAGAATGCTGGTGGCCACCATTGTTTCCTGGCTCTTTACATTTTCATCCTCTCTGTTGCTTGATTTGAGTGTAAAGAAGCCAGGTCAGTACTAATTAATAGGTCAAAATGGAAGAACAAATAAAGAAACCGCAAACTAATGGTAGAAAGTACCATTAAATTAATGTGATATAATTTACAAAGAACTTACGCAAATCAATGGAAAAAAGACAAAGCTACGGTAATACAGGCAAAGAATACATACACACAGGTTACAGAAAAAGAAATATAAACAACCAATGTTGTTGTTAGGTGTCATCGAGTCATCTCTGACTCATAGTGACCTTATATACAAGAGAACTGGGCACAGGCTGCCCAGTCCTGTGCCAGCCTGACGATCCCCACTATACTTGAGCCCAGCCCTGAGCCCACCGCTGTAGCCACCATCTTGTGGAGGGCCTTCCCCTCTTTTGTTGACCCTCCACTTTACCCAGCATGATATCCTTCTTCAGAGAATGGTTCCTTCTGACAACATGACCAAAGTAGGTGAGACGAAGTCTGGTCACTCTCACTTCCAAGGAGCATTCTGGCTGCACTTCTTCCAGGACATATTTTTTAGTTCTTTTTGCAATCCTGGGTACCTTCAGCATTCTTCGCCAAAACCGTAACCCAAAAGGATCAACTCTTCTTTGGTCTCCCTTATTCAATGTACAGCTCTCACGTGCATATGAGGCAACTGGGAATAGCATGACTTGGGTTAGGTGCAACTTACTCCTCAGGACATATCATTGCTCTTTAACATTGAAAGAGGTCTTTTGTAACAGATTTGCCCAATGCAGTATGTCTTTTGATGTCCTGACTGCTGTTTCCATTGGCATTGATTGTAGAACCAAGTAATATGTAGTCTCTGACAACTTCAATCTTTTCTTTATATATCATGATGCTGCTTATTGGTCCTGTTGTGAGGATTTTTCTTTTCTTTATATTGAGGTGTAATCCATACTGCAGACTGTAGTCTTTAATCTTCATCTGTAAGTGCTCCAAGCCATCCTCACTTTCAGCAAGAAAAGTTGTGTCATCTGCATATCTCAGGTTGTTAATGAGCCTTCCTCCAATCCTGATGCCATGTTCTTCTTCATACAGTCCAAACTCTCAGATTATTTGCTCATCATACAGATTGAAAAAGTATGGTGAAAGAATACAACCCTGACGCACTCTCTTCCTGATTTTAAACCATGCAGTATTTCCCTGTTCTGTTCAAACGACAGCCCCCTGGTCTAAGTACAGGTTCCTCATGAGTACAGTTAAGTGTTCTGGAATTCCCATTCTTCTCAATATTATCCACAATTTGTTATGATCCACACAATCAAATACCTTTGCATAGTCAATAACACAAATAAACATCTTTTGGGATTTCTTTCCTTTGAGCCAAGATCCATCTGACATCAGCTATGATATCCCTTGCTCCACGTCCTCTTCTGAACCCAGCTTCCATTTCTGGAAGTTCTCTGTCAATACACTGATGCAACTGTTTTTAAATTTCCTTCAGTAAGATTTTACTTGTGTGTGATATCAATGATATTTTTCAATAATTTTCACATTCTGTGGGATCACCTTTCTTTGGACTGGGCACAAATATGGATTTCTTCTAGTCAGCTGGCTAGATAGCTGTCTTCCAAATCTCTTGGCATAGCCGAGTGAGTGCCTCCAGTG